TTAAAAAATTGCTTTTTTTTATCATACTCCCCTTATCTGATAAAAAATAATGAAATACAATCTAAAAAATTGGAACTGCCTGTACATGTGTGTGCAAGTGTGTATTCATTCGCTGATTAAGTACATATATATCTGTACTTTATGTATTTATAAAATGTATAATTATAAGATAGAATATTAACTTCAAATTTTACTTATTAGCAGTACATTAAACCATTTGCTTTCACTTCATAAACTATGTCAGTAACAATTAAATATGCTTATTAACTCTGAAAAAAATCTTATAAAATGTTGCCACACAGTAATTCACATATATTTCAAGTTCATGTCAATCTCATCCAACAATTATGTAAAAGTTTTTGTTGAAACGTGCGTGGTATATTTTCATTCTCTTTGATATCACTCAATTCTTACATTTAGTGATTACAGTGCTAGTTTGTATATATGGTTATCTGTGCTATTTTTACCCCAAAAATATCAGTGTTTTTTGTTCATTTAATACTGTTAATTTGGAAACAGTCAGTAACTTGGTTCATGTTTCTTGCGTAGTTCTCTCCATTCTTTCTTGCCCAATCTTTATTCTCCTTTGTTCCTGACATCCTTACCACTCAATTCTAGCAGTTATCCCCTAGACACACACACACAAAAACATATGTGCACACACACACACACGCATACACACACACACGCATACACACACACACTCTAACACCAGGAGGAGGAGTGGAAGGGAAGGGAAACATTCATTTCAAGATAGTCTTTAGAAGGTAGCTACTCTCTCTGCTAGTCGAAGGGAGTGCAGTTAATAAACAGAACCATCCTTCCTAGGTTAATTAGGAGAGAAATCAAAGTGCTTCTGGCCAGAATGAAGGAGCAACCCAGCTGGTCTGACGTATCCATTGCAGGAGCACTAAATATTTAAGGTCCCATTGGAAGGTACCCTGAGCAGGATACAAAGGGGAAAGAAGCATTAATTTAATTCTAATAATTTACATTAGAATTAAAACATTTTAATTTTCTGTTTTATTTGATGCCTCTTGATGTTTGAAAATTTCATATTTGAAATATGTTTAATTTCACATGTTTAATTTCTCTGATTTTTAAACATTTTATACTCTGAACAGTTAATAGTGAAAATACTAATATTATATGTAGACCACATGGACTAAATGCCAAGATACTAGTGTTGTCATTTGCTTCATGTTTATGACTTATGGCTTTGATTTATTTTATGTTTAATAATAGATTCAAAGATTCATTATCACCCCACTGAAACTGCTCGTATCAAAGTCACCAAGTAATGACTTTTTATTAATCAGTCCTCATAATCTACTGAAGTATATTATATCCTAGGTTCGCTATCTTTTTCATTGTTTAATTGTTTGGAAAAATGCCTAATACTTAATTGGCACTATATAGGCTCAGTCTTTGAAGATAGTGAAGTTGGAGTGTAGAGTTGTAGGGCTTTTGTGAAAGAGGATGGTTGGTTGTGTAGGTATCAGAGGAAGTGTTGAAAAACATTTCAGCAAGCCATACGTTACCAGTGTTTTTCTTTTAACAGCAGAGAATTTCTACATACACTGTCTTGATTAATTTTTTTGTCTTCTTTATTGAGAAGTTGCCTAGCAGACGTACAGTGTTTTGCAAGCTGGGAGAAATAAGTATTATGGTACTCGTTATTTTGAATGTTTATTTGCATGAGATTTTTCAAATACTTGGTTTTTTTTTTCACTTTTTAACAGTACTCCAATCTAGCAGGTGTTTGAGTCCTTCAGCTTTTATAGGGATGTAAATAAAGTCACATAAAATGAAGTTTTAAGTCAATATCTTCATATTTGCACATGAATCTTCTTGACTCTTAGAATTGTTATTAAATTTCAGAAAAGCATTAACTGGTCAGTAGAAGGGTGGAGACAGATTTAAAAGCCAAAAATTTTTAAGGAATTTAAGGAGTGGAACTTAGAAAAGGTGTTAGATAGAAATAAGGTTTCTCTGTTTATGAGTGTATTAAATATAGACTTTTGAGCCACATTTTAAAATATTTTTAAATTTTTGCTGAATGTTAAAAGCATTTCTTCTGTAGCATGACCATAAATATTTATACAGTGAGACAAATAGAATTTCTTCTACATGAATTATCATAATTTGTTTTCAGTGTGGCACAGTTTAGCTACATTTCAAACAGGAAATAACATTGATAAGGACCAGTCATGTGAAAATATTCAAAAGTAAACATCCAAGTTTCAAATTTTTTATTCTGAAAATTGTTCTATGTAGAGTATTAAAGAGTGTTTACAGATCCAGCTGAAGTTTATATATTTGTTTGCTTTCTCAGATGAAGCTTTAAGCATGTTTCTGTTTCAATTCTGTTAATTAACTGTTAATTCAGTTAAAATATCCTATCATATATTTTAAAAAAGAATCTGTTTTGCGAAGATTCCAAAATATTTGTTTGAGCAGGCACTCAACTCAAACACTCTTGATGAAAACTGTTGGAATAGAAAAAATTTGAATCATTCTGCTCTCAGAGTAATCAAGCCAATTAAACTGGTACAGTTAACAGTTCTGTAACGGGCAAGGAGTCAAGAAATTTAGCAATTCCTACCTAGACTGTTTTTCAGCAGACTTTCATACCAAGTCAGTAGTTGATATTAATGCCATTGAATTTTCAGAATAAAAAGTTATAGGTAGAACATCTGTATCAAGTTCTATGAGTATCACTTTTGGTAATCCATGATTAGCTTCGATCTCTGTTTTGTGGTGTTATTAAAGCTGTAATTCTCTCTTGAATTTCCTGGGGCATCATTCTTGCAAAATAAGAAGGGATGTCCTATAGAATCTGACCCCAGGTATGATTAAACTGTCCCCGAGATATGAATATTTTTACATTGTCTTCTAATACTAGGTATCTCAGTAGTTATGTAGAATACCACAATGCTTTGTGAGCATTGATAGTTGCCTAAGGTTACCACATTTATAAATGAGGATAGATTATTCAGCCTCTGACCTTTTCATTTTCTTTCTCTTCTAGTTCATTGTTCACATATAGGAACACAACAGATTTTGTGTATTGATTCTGTAGCCTGCCACTTACACTGTACTGCTTTAATGTTTCAGTTGGTTTTTTTAGTGATATCGTTAGGGTTTTCTATGTATGTTATGTCATCTACAAATGCGATAGTTTCACTTCTTTTCCAATCTGGATTCCTTTTATATCTTTCTCTTGCCTAATTGCACTAGCTAACACTTCCAATACTGTATTGAATAATAGTTGTGATAATGGACATCCTCATCTTATACCTGATCTTGGAGGGAAAACATTCAGTTTTCACTATTGAATATCTTAACTGTGCATTTGACATACATGGCTTTTATTATATTGAGGAATGTTTCTTCTACCCCTGTTTTTTCTTTAGTGCATTATCATAAATGGTTTCTGGATTTTGTCAAATGCCTGTTCTGCATCTATTATTATGATCATATGATTTTTGCCTTTCCTTTTATTCTTATGGTAAATTATTGATGGATTTTTGGATGTTGAACCATCTTTATATTCCTGGAATAAATCCTACTTGGTCATGATATGTGATCCTTTTTATGTACTGTTGAATTTGACTTGCTAAGATTCTGTTGAGGATTTTTGCATCTATGTTCATCAGGGATATTGGTCTGTATCTTTCTCTTTTTTGTAATGTCTTTGTCTGCTTTTGGTATCAGAGTAATGTTGGCCTCATAAAATGCATTTGAAAGCATTTTCTCTTCTTCAGTTTTTGGGAAACATTTGAGAAGAATGTATATTAGTTGATCTTTGACGGTTTGGTGGAGCTCACTAGTAAAATCACCTACCTCTGGCCTTTTGCTTTTTGATTGCTATTTCAATTTCTTTCTTATAATTCATCTACTCGGGTTTTCTGTTTCTTCCTTCTACAGTCTGGGAAGATTGTATCCTTCAAGAACTTGTCCATTGCTTCTAGGTTATCCATTTTATTGTCATAAACATATTTGTAGATTCTCCTGTGATTCTCTGTATTTCTGAGATGTCTGTTATACACCCATTTTTCTAATATCATAGTTAACTTGGAATATTAGCAAAAATTAACATTTCGATCTCTCGATTTTTTTTTAAGTGCTTCTTTCAGAACTGTCAGTGTAAAGGAGTTATGTAGAACCGATGATAAATATCTTGGCTTTCCCCCCTTCTTTATGTGATTCTGTATATCATTGTGACTTCAAGGGATCTGAGAATCAGCAGAGGAATACAATCCTTTCATGCAGTTCTGCCTGCTCTTCCCATGTTGGATAGTTTATCAGTGGAAGTTTGAATAAGGAGCTGAAGGAGTTTATGACTGAAAATGATGAGTGAAAACCAGAATCTACAGTTGATTGGACACAGCTATAGGAAGGACATATGTGTCTGTATACATATATACATATATAATTTGTATATTTTTTATATTTTATATATAACTTATAAAAATATATATTTTATATATTTATTTATTATATATTATATATATATATATTATAGCATAATAGATATGTTACCAAAAGTCCAGAAAAGCCGAATGAGGAAATTATCTGCGGTTTCTTTTGAGTTTCATTTGATAATACTTTGGGTAAGTCTTACAAGGGAGATGGCTCAGGTTACTAATCCTTAGCACACGACCCAAGAAATGAGAATATTCTTTATTGTGGGAAGTAACTTTGACTCATAAAGGAGTAGAGACTCTTCAGTATAAGAACGCTTTTGTCCATAATTTCTCTGATTTGGTGCCAAAAGCTTGTTGAGAGAATATTCAAAGCGGTGCCTGTATAAGTTATTGTTGAAAATTGACAGCTGCTATATTTCTTGTTAATAGCTAGTTGAAGCACTTTCTGTTATGTCTCTTCTATTGCTAAGATTTAAAAAGTGTGTTTAAATTAAAAGTATTATGTGAGAAAAGCTTTGTTCTGTGGATTAGATAATACTTCTTTTGTGACATTTTTTTCCCCACCAAAAGTGAGAAGTGAATGCCTTGCCTTGATACATCCCATTTCTAATGGAGGACAAGAAGTTATTTTCTCCAATGGCTCACTTCCAGAATTTCTGGCTGAACGTTCTTTGTCAAGTGTATATTCCCTTCTCTAGGCCTTTCTATATAGAGCCCACAAACATCGTCAATGTGAATAATGTCATTCAGAGGGTTAGTGACCAGGCTTCTGCCATGAACAAGAGGATTCATTACTACAGCCGACTCACTGCTCCTACAGACAAGGCACTGGTAAGAGGCAAAGCATTGCTAATTGTCTGAAGTTAAGTTGAAATGAACAGTGAACAATATAGCCAGGACAACTCCCAGTGTTTGAACTTTTTGCTGGACATCTTCCAAGGAGAGCATCATGGAAAGTCAGAGATAGTAACTAATACATGTCTTAGGCTAGTTCATTCTTATCTAACCTGGCATGTTGACAACAACCAGATTTGTTAGATTAAATTCTGCCAATCCCCAATCCTAAAAGTTTTCAAGCCTTAGGTCAATGATTAATATAAATAATGAGATTCTCTTACTCTGCTCCATTTTCAAGCTTGAAACTACAAAGGAAAAATGTTTTTTAGAAATTTTCTGCATGAGTAGGAAACTAAAATATATACATAAATATATATATTTTCCTATTTAATGATGTTATTTTAATAGATCAAAAATAAGGGCCAAAAAAAAATTAAAAAAATTTTTAAAAAAAGAAAAAATAAGGGCCAAAGGCGGATACTAAACAGTTTAGGCTTTGCAGGTCTATAATACTGTCACATAGTCTTCTTCACTTATGTGCTATGGCCATTAAAAATATGAAACAATTCTTAACATAAGAAATGTTTAAAAATCATTTGAAGGTCAGATTTGGCCGATGGGCCATGGATTGACTCTTGGCTTTCTAAAATCTATTTTTATTTTAGGATAAAAAATATAAGTTATTTAGTTGCTTTGAGAATTACCACATATGAGATACTCAGACACTTGAAAGGTAAAGATAAATAGAAATAGTCTAGAAGAAAAAAAGATTTTTAGTAGTTATTAATGATAAAAAGGGAGAAAGAAACCAGCATTCATTAAATGTTTTAAAAAATATTCTTTTTTTTTTAACCTTAGGCAGTTTTAATTCCTCTATCTTCTGCTTCAATGCATTTAAAATATTTTTATTATTTTAAATATTTATTTAAATATTTATTATTTATAATGTATTTATTATTCCTTTCTTTACCTCAGTGACTTCTCAGTTCTTTAGTTTGATTTCCTTACCTGCCTCTTTGCTAAAACTACCCTCAACTAAGAGTTCAGTAACTACTGGATTCTTAAAATTCCCCTCACATAAAACCCAAGTATCCTCTATTTAGAATCGCTTACTCTTAGTCTTGCTGACTTTTCTTCCTCCTTTCTAAAGAGAAAAAAAGAAATATATTTTGACAGTTACTTATTTTAAGAATTTATCTCATTTCAGGTGAACAGTTTATAGTTTTTAAACTCTTGCTCCTTTAGTTCTTCATTTACATTTGAAAAAGAGTGCTTGTATTCACTCTTCAGTATACAGTATGCACAGGGATCAGACTGTTTATTTGTTCATGGTGTTTAGAAATGTTTGGCATGTGTTTCTTGCTGTTTTCTATGGGCTAGACACCTCTACCTATAAACCAGTGTTTCTTGCCCAAGTACATCTCAGGCTCCATGGGATGAATCTATAGTTGGTTTTCTCCTACCACCCATAAGTTGAAATTATTTTGTTGAGTTTGACAGCATGGAATTTATTATGATATAGAATTATATGTAGAAAACAGGTACCATTATATATAGAAAACATCCTACTTTGCATCCTACATTTTTTGGTGCTAACATTTCTGTTTCTTTTTTTTTTTTTTTTTCACCAGATTGCCCCAGATCATGTAGTTCCAGCTCCAGAAGAGTGCTATGTATATAGTCCATTAGGTTCTGCCTATAAACTTCAAAGTTACACTGAAGGCTATGGTAAAAATAGCAGTTTAGTAACCATGTAAGTAAAGTACTTTTTTGCACCATATCTTAAATTATATGTGAATGAAGATTATGGATTATTTTTGTCTTAATTAAAATGTTTGATGAGTCAAACTCCTTGTTTTCAGTTTTATGATTTGGAATACCATGATGGGAACATCTATACTAAGTATTCCTTGGGGCATAAAACAGGTAATATAATTTTTTGGTACACTTTATCTGATTTTTTCCCCTTTTTTTGGTATTGTAAGTTTTTTAATAGTTTTTAATAAATTTACATATAATTATTAAAGAAAATAGAGGATTATATATAATTTTCCATTCATTCTCAAGTTTTATCATAATTGTTTGGTATAACAATATGGTTGGATGTGAATTTACTCTAATAAGATGATATATGTTCTATACTTTTATTTTTAAACAGGCTGGATTTACTACTGGATTATGTGTCATCTTGCTGATGGGCCTTTTAACACTTTATTGCTGCTACAGAGTAGTGAAATCACGTTCTATGATCTGTAAGAATTTACCACAGTTAAAACAGATTGGTTTAGTGATGTGGGTATTAATAGGTATTTCCTTTTGAGGTAGATCACTAATGTATACATTACAGGTATATGAACTATTTGTATCTAAAGATTTCCCTCTCTAATTCATAGTATTCTGCTAACTACTACATTAATGAATTAGTGGCTGCCTTTGAAATTTACAAAGGCTGGGCATTCTTTGCAGGTTGTATTCCTTGATGCTAATTTCCTTATAAGAATAATTTTTCAAAATCATATTTTTGAATAAGGTCTTTGCTAGAACTAAATTAAGAATTGATTCTTATCAAATAATGGTGATTTTTTTGACCTGCCAATAGACCTAAATTTTAGAAAATTATCACTAGAAAAATAAGAAAATATAAACAATGTAACTTAGTAATGAATTTTCAGAGTTATACCAGTGTACTCCCTCCATTCACCTCTATATTCTGGATTAGGGAAATGCCTTTGTAGAGTGTTTTTAAATAGTTTAGGACCTATATAGACATAAATTATATTTTTGACTCTTAGCAAGTATCAATCAATAGTCTTTGCTTCTCCTTCAATTTTTTTTTTCTGTCTCTCCTAAGTACCTGGTATATTTTCTCTTAATTTTATTATTTATTCATATCCATTCCCCATTTATCTGCAAATTACTTGGTGCTCTTATCAATCTACTTAGTTCTTTATATGATGTAGACATTAGCCCTTTATCTATTTTTTCTTGTCAATTTCTTTCCCATTCAGCATTTGAATGGCTTTTGTATTATATGAGTTTGTTTATATCTGCCTGTCTTTTCCACTATAATTTGTATTTCTTCAGTTCTTTCAGGTTCTGTTTTTCACATTGTCTTCTAACTGTTTTGTTTGTTTAATCTTTAAGTTCTTAACTCATTTGTGTGAAGTTTAATTGGCATGTAGTATAAAGACTCAAGAAATTTGAGTATGCCAAATATTATTGGATAATGTCCTGTGTCTTACTGAGGATTTTATCGAGCCTTTGCTTTTATTAATTATAAAATATTATGACTCATTTATTTCTCAGATTACCTATACTCTTTCATTAACATAACATTTTTATGTGTGTGTTCTATAATGTTATAATTATTATTTCATAATGTGATCTAATATCTGACAATAGAACACCCATAATCTTTTGCTAAAATAGTTTGAGTAAATTTGGGGAACACAAATTATAAATATGGAATATATGATTAACATCTAATTTTATTCTTGTCTTTTATTTTTATCTAGCATCAGTGGATACCAGTACCTGGGAGTATCCAGAAGTCTGCAGACATTATTTTGGCTCCTTTGGACAATGGTCAAGTCTCCTTTTCTCCTTGGTATCTCTTATTGGAGCAATGGTAGTTTATTGGGTCCTTATGTCTAATTTTCTTTTCAATACTGGAAAGTTTATTTTCAGTGAGTATCCATATCATGTGCTTGCTTAACAAAGCTACTTTTAGATATAAAACTCATGTTTTGTTTCTGTCTTAAATTCTGGATTTGGAGTAATAATATAAAAAATATTATTTATAATTCTGGAAAATATACTTGATTCAGTTTATTTGATTATAATCGCAAATATTCGTGTGTTGATTTCCAAAAACTGATTTTTAAATAAATAATAATCCTTCAAATTCTCTATGTAAAATATGTTGTAATAGTTAAATCACTCTTTTATTCTAGGATAAACTTAATTACTTACTTTATTACTTAAGATGTATATTTTAAACTTCATGCTGGATTCAGTTTACTTCATTAAGGGGTGTGGCTAATATTTTATTTAGGACTTCTACATCTTTTCATAAGAGAGACTGGCATGTAGTTATTCTCATACCATCCCTGTTGAGCCGTTGTATATTAAGGCTAGTGTAACAAATTATCATGAACTGTTTGTCTTAAAACAAAGATATTTATTCTCTCTCAGTCCTTGAGACTAGAAGTCCAAAATTGAAGTGTTAGTAGGACTCTCTCTTTTAAGCCTCTAGGAAAGAATCATTCCATGTCTTTTCTTAACTTCTGGTGGTTGGTGGAAATCCTTAGCACTCCTTGGCTTATAGCTGCATCATTCCAATTCCTGCTTCTTTTCACATGGCCATCTCCCCTCAATGTGTCTGTGTCCTAATTTCCCTTTTATTACTATGTACACCAGTCATTGAATGTAGGGTCTAAGCGAATTCAGTATGACCTTATCTTAACTTGATTATATCTGTAAAGACCCTATTTCCAAATAAGGTCACATTCTAAGGTTCCTGGTAGACATGGATTTGGGGAGACACTGTTCAATCCAGTGTACTTGTGGTTTCAAGCTGTTACTTGCCTTTATGTAAATCTTTGGCATCAGGAATTACATAAAATTAATAACTTCCAATCTTAAGTCCCTAATAATCTTTGAAGATAACTATTATATAAAACCTAGAGCACTAAACTACTTTTATCTTGAATAGTGAAGGTGAATAACTCACATATTTAATTTGCTTTACCACCTTAAAATCTAACCAATCAGGGCCTCCCTGGTGGCGCAGCGGGTGATCGCTGAGTTGCGAAGCTGCCCGCAACCTCTGCAGCGCTGGTTCGATCCCTGGCTGCCCGACGAGGGTCCCACATGGTGCGCAGACCTCTCCTGCCGCCCACTGCTCCCCTCAGCAGTGTATTTCGTCTGTCTGCCTGTTCTGTTTCCCGCTCTGGCTCTGGTGAATTCTCTCACCCTCCAGCACTTCTGACTCTATCCAGTGCTTGTATAAATAAATAAATAAATCTTAAAAAAAAAAATATCTAACCAATCATTGGACCTCCCCGGTGGCGCAGTGGTTGGCGCTGGAAGCTGCCCGCAGCCTCTGCAGTGCCGGTTCGATCCCCGGCTGCTCCCCGGCCACCGGACATGGCACGCAGACGTGTCCTGCAGCCCGCTGCTCCCCTCAGCAGTGTACTTCGGTCCTTCTGCTCTGCTCCCCTCTCTGGCTCTGGTGAATTCTCTCACCCTCCCGCGCTTCTGACTGTACCCAGTGCGTGTATAAATAAAATAAATAAATCTTAAAAAAAAAAAATCTAACCAATCATTTTTACCATCTTATGTTTCAGATATTAAATATATTTATTTAATGCTTGCTATGGTTATAAAAAGTGAACATTAAACAAAATTAAGTAAATTCCCCCAGGCTTTTACTAGGAAAAAAAGATACATTCTTTTATTTTTACAGAATGTGAATCCTCGGGTATCTGTATATGCTTTTTAGTTTGCTACTTCCTTTATTGTAACAGTGATGCTTGTGAGCAGTAATTACTGTAGAGCCTTTGGTTTATAAAAGCATGTACCCTACTTAGTAAAAACTTTAAGTGATTTCCCAACTAAGGTGGTTGTTTTATTTTCCACTTTTGTGAGCTTTAGAATTTAACTCTATGTAAGATGTAACTATATGTATATAGATTACAGAGTATATATGGAAAAAATTGTATATATTATCTTTATTCCAGAGATTTTAACTAAATTCAGACTCCAGGGGAGATTTTTTGGAAAAATCCTCATTCATTAAAAAATTTTCAATAGTGGGATTATGAAACCAATAATAATAATAGTTCTGTAAGTAAGAGAAATGAATAAAGTGAAGCAGTGATAACTATAAAGTACTGTAATCTTGACTCCATGTATTTGATAATATAATCACACAGTAGATCTTAGAAGATTTTTATAGATAAGAAACTATATAAGCTGATTGACTTAATATCTTTCTTTATTTTTCCTTAATTTTTAGATTTTATTCATCACATTAATGACACAGATGCTATACTAAGTACCAATGATAGCAACCCTGGTAAGTAGTTTGCCTCTTAAAGTTTAGCTTGTTTCTTTAATCCCTTAATTGTTTCAAAGAAGATATTAAGATAGAACCTGTGACTATTTTAGTTAAATGAATAGCATAGAATCATTAACATTATGCTAATTTAGCAATTATTAAATTGCTGCTAGTCTGTGTTTTTAAAAAAACTCCACAAAAGGTTGTGACACTGTGAACTAAACAAAATTTAATCCATGTTCTACAGTTCACAATTTTAGCTTATGTCTATAATATCCTCATTTGCCTATGAGTAATTAGTAAAGTATTTTCAAAGACCTATATTGCTGCTTAATGTTTTGGGAGTTTAGAAGCCTATTTCTCAATTTGTTAATTTAGTTTAAACATTTATTATTTTAGTTACTAATATTTAAGATACACAAACCTGTACCATATGGAACAGTTAATTTCCTAATAGTAAATGAAGATTAGTAAATATAGAAAAATAACTTGAAGATTTGGCTAAAAAATAATTTTAATTTCTTAGAAAAGCTTCCTTTAATTAATTATTAAAAATAAACTTGTGTGGCTGATATCAATTGATGAAAATAGTTCATTAATATTTAATAGGATTTCTCTAGTAGGGAGTCAGCTCGCCATTGAGTTTATATATATATCACAATTACACTGATGATTTGGAAAATACCATCAAAAAAGTCCATTTACTTTGCATAGTGATATCTTATGTTGTTTCCAGCACTTCTTAATTCTTCTGTTTATTTTGTGTGCTAAATAGTGAGATTATGGAATAATTCATTTCATTGAATGTAAAAAATTATACTAACATTTATTGAGTACTTACTGTTCTCAATAATAGTTGCACTTTTATCTCCACTTTCTAGATGCAGAAACCAAGACACAGAGAAGTTAGTGATTTGTATAAGGCCCCAAAACTATTAATTGACAGTCTGGATTCATTATTCAGTCAGTTGACTTCCATAGCCTGTGCTCTTTTCCACTGTATTTTTTAGGACTAGAAAAATTCAAGTTAATTTACGTCTGTCCAGCATAGAAGGGAAAAATACATGTTAAATTTCTAACAAAGAGAAAAGGATATTAAAACTAAGTGCTTGACTTGGTGACATGCCAAATAATGGATAGAGAATAAAATTTGAAAAAGAACTTATAATGATATTTATTACTTTTCTTTTTGACTAGGGATGAGTGTGTTGGTTGCTTAGTGTATTTTTCAAGAGTTCTTTACAAAGAAAAAATTAGTAACAGAAATTAATTATTAACAAAAATTATGAAACTGAAAACAGTGAAAATGAGTTTTGTTCTAATAATTGCCACTGACAGATTGGTGTTAGGTAAAATACATTTTTCTCACTTCCCAATACTCTGGATACCATCTGGAATCTTAAGATGGTATCAAGTATGATAAACTTCCAGGAGAATTGCTCTGGAATGCAGGAATTCAAGATTCTTTTTTTTTTTTTAAAGATTTATTTTATTTTATTTATTTATTTATACAAGCACTGGGTACAGTCAGAAGCGCGGGAGGGTGAGAGAATTCGCCAGAGCCAGAGCTGGGAGCAGAGCAGGCAGAAGGACGGAAGTACACTGCTGAGGGGAGCAGCAGGCGGCGGGAGAGGTCTGCGCGCCATGCGGGACCCTCCTCCGGTAGCCAGGGAGCAGCCAGGGATCGAACCGGCGCCTCAGAGGCTGCGGGCAGCTTCGCAACCCAGCGCTCAACAGCTGCGCCACCGGGGAGGCCCAGGAATTCAAGATTCTTAAGTTATAAGTAATAATTAGGTTTTGTCAATACTATGGCAGCTGTTTCAAGGAAGTTTGCTTTTTTATTCCAAACCCATATATTTTATTTATTATCAGAAGAAACCTGTTGTTTGGCCTTTATATGGATTATTAGCAAAACAAACAATTACCCTGAGTAATATTTATATTATTGCATAGATGATGCCATTTAGCCCAATTTTTTTCTCTAGTAATGGATATTTGGTGAGATATTTTTGTAATATCCAGTAGAAATCAAGAAAATATTCCTCTAAGAATCCCCCACTTTTAATTATTTATAGGTAAAATATTCTTGATGTTTCTAACTCTGTATTTTTTTTAATGTAGAGACTTAGTAGTTATGATAAATATTGAGATTGGTAGAGCAAATGTAAGTCTCTGAAGGAGTCATTTTTTTGTTCTTGTGTTCTTCTCTAATCTGATGGTTTCCTCTTGCAGTGATTTGCCCGAGTGCTGGGAGTGGTGGCCATCCTGACAACAGCTCCATGATTTTCTATGCCAATGACACAGAACTCCAACAGTTTGAAAAGTGGTGGAATAAGTCCAGGACTGTGCCCTTTTACCTTGTAGGACTCCTCCTCCCACTTCTCAATTTCAAATCACCTTCATTTTTTTCAAAATTTAATATCCTAGGTAAGCTGGCAGCATATGTGATACATTCTATGTGTAGTGGAGTATGAGCTGGCTTCTGTGAAAACGTGGTCTGGCTGGGGAGCTAGTTCTCTTCCAGGCCTATTCACCAATGCTGAATTTGTTTACTCATATGTTACCTTGCCTTTTGATTTTCTTTATGAAGTTTACCACAGACAAGAATTACCATTTCAACTCCAATTCCATTTTGCTTTTTATATAGGAGTATTGGGTTTCCCATTCTATTGTTACTGAATCTGCTCTTCCTCATTTCCCTTAAGGGCACAACTAGAGAAAATAGACTAAAATTTCAGGAGTGATCCAAATTGGATATTATAGGAACTCTCAATTCTGAGAGCTGGAAACATTACAACTTACTAGAGGAAACTGTGGGTTCTTTTTTCCCCCCACAGAATTACAACCTGACTTTCAACCTGGGATATCATTCTCTAGCTCAAGCTCCTTAAGTTTATTTTACTTACATTCTCTTTCTCAGTGTATTTTTCCTTCATGGAACACTATTGTCACCTTAAAGGAACAGATTTCTTTCTGTGAGACCTGTTTTTCAGAAATTTTAGAAATTTCTGAATCACTAAAGGAATGTTTTGACCCTATCTTCTTTTAGAACACTGAGTCTTAAGATGACAAAAGGAACCCTAATGAATGCTCAGATTTGGTTAACTAGAGACAAAGATATCATTCATAAAGAATTGATAACCCTAGGGCCTTCCTGCTGGCCTCAGGATTAAGTCTCAGCTCTATCACCACTACAGCCCGAATTCAATCTTTTCAGGAAGCTAACCCACATATGGCACAGCAGACCTCTCCTGTCTCACGCGCTGTTCCCCTTAGCCGTGTATTTCAGTAAATCCGCCTGTTCTGCTCCCCACTCTGTCTCTGGTGAATCCTTTCACTCCCTGCACCTCTGACCTGTAGCCCAGTTCTTCTATGCTTAAATAAATAAATCAGTCTTCAAAAAAATAAAGGATAACCCCAAATCCAACATAGGATTTTACCTTTTCCCTATAGATATGACCTCTTGGTGGACAGCCAAGAATATAAAATAATTAGTTTATTCATCACATCAAGGAGGTGGCTTTGGGTTTCCAGAAGACCAAAGAAAGAGGTGAGAACACAATTAGCCCTCTGAATTTGCAGATTCCACATAAGTGGATTGAACCAACCACAGATGGAAAATACATACTGAGTGGTTAGGTCTACAACAGATGCATCTGTACTGAACATATCTAAACTTTTCTTGTCATTATTCTACAAACAATGTAGTATGACAACTACATAGCATTTACATTGTAGTAGGTATTATAAATAATCTAGAGATGACTTAAAGTATATGGCAGGATGTGTGTAGGTTATATGCAAATATTACACTATTTTATATAAAAGAGTTGAGCATCTATGGACTTCAGTATCCTCGTAGTGGTGAAGATTGGGAGTTAGTCTAAGGGGGATTTGGAACCAATCCCTCATGGATACAAAGGGATTATGGTATTTCTCTATACCTTTCCACCTAGCAGCAGGATTCACTGTAAGGCTGCCACAAATAAATACAGAAAATGAAGAGTGGTGGTTATATTGACTTTGGCTACTTTTTTCATGCTTTCTGAATCTGTTAATCTCTAAATCCACAGAAGAGCTTATATAGCTCATTTGTGGTTTCCTGATTTGTTTGCTGTCTTTCTTACATAACAGACCTTTAAAAATTAGTTTATAAATTTGTAGAGAATTTACTCAGTTGCATAAGAAATCCCCAAACTTCTAACCAGGTTGAATCTTCTCTACCTCCTTAAGTATATTCTGTTTTTGTCCTTTTTCTTGGTACTTTCCCGTTCTTTTAAAATTATAACTTCTTTAGAGGAATTAGCATCTAATTACTCTAGCCACCTTCCTGGATTTCTGCTCCAAAATAACTGAATTTAATTCCTTAAATGGACTACTCCTCTAACTTCTAGTGTATACATTTGCTTACTACACTGTATAGGTTCCAAGATTACATTTTCCCGTTCTCCTGCCACCGAATGTCCAATCACTATACACCACTAACCATTTGGTCTTTTCTGCTGATTCCTTTCTATTGTCAGAGCCCACCAGGCTTATTTTTCTTTATGTTCTATAAATAAGCAAAATCATATGGTATTGGTCTTTCTCCTTCACACTGATTTCCCTTAGCATAATCCTCTTGAGATCAGTCCATGTAGTCTCAAATGGCTTAATTTCATCCTTTTCTGTGGATGAGTAATGTTCCATTGTGGATGTATACCACATCTTTTTTATCTACTTGCTACTCATTGGGCACTTGGGTTGTTTCCATATCATAGCCATTGTGTATTAGACTACTAAAAATTCCTGAATGTGATATTTTGATCTATGTATAATGCTTATGAATAGAATTTGGAATTTTACCACCCAGTCAAAAACCATCTAGATATACTAGATCAAATTATTGCGGATTTTTTGTTTTATGGCTTTTCTCAGTCAGGTTTATGACCCACATCCACTACTCCACATCCACTGCTTTTCTTTCTTTACTTTCTTATAATCTTACATTAAGTACTGCAACCCTTTCCCCACTTATTGACCAGCTCTGTACTTCAAACACAAAAGAATAAGGTAGGGCCTCCCTGGTGACGCAACGGTTGAGCGCTGGGCTGAGAAGTTGCCCATAGCCTCTGCAGCACTGGTTCGATCCCCGGCCGCCGGGCAAGGGTCCCACATAGCACGCAGACCTCTCCTGCCGTGCCCACTGCTCCCCTCAGCAGTGTACTTTATCAGTCTGCCTGTTCTGCTCCCCGCTCTGGCTCTGGTGAATTCTCTCACCCTCCCGTGCTTCTGACTGTACCCAATACTTGTACAAATAAATAAATAAATCTTTTAAAAAAAGAATAAGGTAAATTTCATGTTTTTTTTCCCCCTCATATATAATCTTACAGTTTTATAGTGGATTTTCAGCATGTATTCTCTGCTAAACTCAGCTTATTAGCGAATTTGGCAGTTTTGCTTTCAGCATTTTATAAGCTACCTTCCTCTGGTTCTTCTTAAGCCTATTATGTAGTTTTTTTGCTATGTTTACTGATAAAACACAGCTTGTTTTGGTTCTTTAGAACCTTGGTTTGGATAGAGATACTCAATGAAAGTAGGAACCTTAAATTTTGCTATGACTGTGGCAGCAGAGCTTGATTTTAAAATTATCTGTAAAACACGCAAAGATGATAAATGTTTTGTGAATTTTTTTCTTACAGGCACAGTGTCTGTTGTCTATTTGATTTTCCTTGTTACCTTGAAGGCTAGTCGCTTGGGATTTCATTTGGAATTTCACTGGTTTGTGCCAACAGAATTTTTTGTACCAGGTGAGCTGTTTTTTTTTTTTTTTTTAAGCATTTATTTATTTATGCATACAAGAACTGAGGTACAGGCCAGAGGTTTTGGGGGGGTGGCGCTGAGATGATATACCAGAGACAGAGCGGGATACGGAACAGGCAGATTGGCTGAAATACACTGCTGAGGGGAGCAATGGGCAAGACAGAAGGGGTCTGCTCTGCCATGTGGGTTGCTCCCTGGCTGGGGATTGAACTCGTGCTGCAGTGGTTGCGGATAGCTTCATAGGTTGCCTCTTAACCCCTTGAGCCACCAGGGAGGCCCAAGGTGAGCTGTTTTGACCAAATAAAGAGTTAATAAATTATAATAAAGTGATCTTTAAATTAACTATTGTTAACTATTGCTATTCTAAAACAAGTAATGGTATTTTTTATGCTGAACATTTTTATTCATGCTGCTTCAGGAGATCAGTTGAAATTACTTTGATTTTCTTGCAGCTAGGGGTAACTAGGACTCTGTCATTTTTACTTGGGACTGAAGTTCAGTGGTGTAACAGTGTAATTTAAAATTCAAAACTCACTCTAGACTTTTCTGAGAAAACATATCCTGGATTTTCTGAGACATAGAACATAGTTATTAATATGTGTGGATAACACTACTCATTAACATCATCCTCCCCTTTCTTTACTTTCCTGTTTTTCATGCTAAGATGCTATTGAACCCCCCTCCTTTTTCTCTCCTATAATAGCTTTGAAATTTCTTCAGTTTCATAAAATGTGGAGATTTTAAACATGATAAAACATCATGACCCAATGAATGAATAATTCTAAATGAGACAAAGATTAGAAAATGGAAGTGGTTATTACACTAATATGAAAACTACGAAGAGAAAGTAATATAAAATTCTGTTTTTGTTTAGAAACATTGTTTTCTTTTCATTTTTCTACTGTGGGTTTGGGCTGTCTAGAATTTTGGGTCTTTATTTTTTATCTGGTGCTATGCTCTAAAGTCTGCAGCTGTAGTTGTCTTCTACTCCTTTTCTTCATTTTGTTATGGTAGCCCCTGGTTTTCAAGGCGTGTTGAATTAGTAGTTATTCAAAGAAGTTTTTTGTATTATTACAGTTACCTGTTTCCAGATAATTTGACTCTATTGTAGCTTTGGTTTTTCATTTCTCTTGGAAGCCCACAAAGACTAAAAAAAGTCAGTGTAAATTCAGGATAAAGGAAGTATTGGAGCTTGAAAGGCACCCTTCAACCCAGATTGTATTTAAAATTGGACACTGGTAAAAATGGCAACTTTAAGCTAGTTCTTTCATTCACTAGTAAAAATAGACAAGAATATTATTTCCTAAAATTAGATCCATTGTGATTTATATTGAGTCCTACTGATAAAAATTTATGCTAATGATAGGCCATTAGAGATAGATATAATGGAGAGGATTAAAGTTGTTTAGAAGATAGACTAGAGAATGTACTTAAATAGATACTAAGTCATTTAGCTCAATTTCTAAATAATGTAAAGGGAGAATCATGACTAAAAGAGGCTTATGTTGCTATTCATCATCCTGAAATGAATTGCTATATTGTGAGTGAAGAATTTCTCAAGAATAAAAATGTCAGAAATCCTTTTCAATACAAGCTAATTAGGAATCAAAGAACTTTGGAGGGTGTGAACCTTTACTATCCTGATGAAGAATTCACACAAACCTGTATTTCTGATTCAATTCTTATTTATGTGCTCTTCTATCTAAAAATTTCTTTTTCAGTGCAGTAGATCCCACCAACCTCCCTCCCCCAGGTAATTGGAAAACTCATGGAGGAAAAACCTACTTAAGGATTTCATCCTATCCTTGACTGTCTACTCAGGATTTTTCTTTTGTATTTATTCCTCCTTCTCCTTAATCACATATCATCAGATTTTTCCTAAATTATTCCTACCTGTATACAAACCTAACTTCCAATCTAAAAATAAAACTCATTTGATGCCACATTCTTTTCTAATTATTATTTCCCTTTAAAGCAAAACTCTTTGAAAGAATTGTCTACACTCACTATCTCCACTTCTCTTTCCATTTGCCTTGAATTCACTTTTGTTAGGCTTGTGCCCCAGGCACTCCATGATGACCAATGACTTCATCTTTCCAAATCGGATGAACAATTCTCACATCTCTTCTTATGCAACCAATCAACAATATGAGGTGCAACCAATCAACAATATGAGGTGCATTCAGTCACTCCTTCCATGTTAAGACACTTTCTTTACTTCTAAAATTCTGTTCTCTCTTGATTCTTCTACATAACTACCCCTCTCATATTTCTGACCTCTAAATGATGGTGTCATCCAGGGTTCAATACTCAAATCTCTTTTCTCTTTGTCCTTATCCCCTAAGTAATGTCGTCTAAGCACCTGATTTGATACGTTGCCCATATGGTCACTAGTCCTAATTTTATATGTATTTCAGATCTCCCGACTGAAATCCATACCCATATACCTGTCTCTTTTACACCTCCACTTTGGATGGCTATTAGGTATCTCAAATTTAAATTGACAAACACCAAACACTTATTGCCTTCTTCATCTACTCCCACCCTATCAACTTGCTTCATCTACTTTTCTCCCAGTCTTCTCTATCTTAGAAAACAATATCTCCAATTTTTCAGTTGCTTGGTCTAAAAACTTTGAAATTGTCCTTGGCTCTTTTTCTCCTCCATCCTCTCCCCCCAATCTACAAACCATATCAGCTCTATTTTCAAAATAAATTGAGAATCTGTTTCTTACCATTTCCACCAAAAAGAACTACATCAAACTACTAATCTCTTATCTGAATTATTGTAGTATCCTCTTAACTAGTCTCACTTTTTATACACCTAACAACTGGATTTTTTTTAAAGATTTATTTATTTATGCATACAAGAACTGGGGTACCGGCCAGAGGTGTAGAGGGGTGAGAGGATTCACCTGAGACAGAGTGGGGAATAGAACATGCAGATTGACTGAAGTACACTGCTGAGAGGAGCTGCAGGCAAGTCAGGAGAGGTCTGCTGCTCCATGTGAGTTGCTCCCTGGCCGGCCGGGAAATTGAACTTGTGCTGCAGAGCCTGCGGACAGCTTGATAGGTTGCGTCTTAACCCCTTGCACCACCAGGGAGGGAGGCCCGCAACTGGATTTTTAATGTTTGGTTTTTTTTTTAAGAAAACATTTTCCATCTCATTCAGAATAAAGGCAAGTCTTTGTCTGAATCCATAGGTCCTATATGTTCTCACTCCTGCCTTCCTGTCTGATTTCATACTCTATTATTTTCCCTCTCATTTACTCTACTCCAGCCACATACAAAAATGCCAAGCACACACCTAACTTAAAATCTTTGCACTTACTCTTACCTGTGCATGAAGTGCTCTTCTTTTTCATGTATATTAATACAGCAGTCTTTCCTGGCTTCCTGTGTCCTCTCCAGCCCCACTTTCTTTTGCCTTATTTTTCTTTCTTTTTTTTTTTTAAGATTTATTTATTTATTTAATTTATTTAATTACCTTTCCTCTGCTGGTTTATGCCTACTTACTATGCTTTCTGTTTTTGTTTTCACTTTATTCAACATCACTCTCTTATATTTTAATAGCTTCAATCTCTGATGAAGAACAACTTATGCTCCTTTTCTGAGAGCTTAAGTTGTATCTTTTCCTAGATCCTGAACTTTCCTTTCTATGTTTGAGATTCTCATACTTCATTGAGTCTCTTTATGATAATTATTTTGAGATCTTTTTCTACTGAATCCTCCAGTTTTGTGACATTTAGATTAGTCTATGGAGATTTTAGCAGCTCTTTCAGCTTTTCTACCTTCTGTTCTCATGCTCTTTGTTTCCTAGACATAAGTGGTACCTTATTTAGTTTTTCTAACTGGGATACTGTGGCTTTAGTTTGTTTATCTTCTTTGTTTATTTTGGCAGTGGGTGGGAAAGAGAGGACCAGCAAGAGCCCGAATGCCTCAGTCTCAGTCTTTGAGGAGGAAGGGCCAACCCAGGTGGAGAATCCTACACTGCCTCTTCTCCTCTAGACCAAACACAGACCACTGCCGCATTCCCAGTCTGCCTCCTTGCCACTCCTCTTCATGGTACACAGAAGGATCTCTCTCTCTCTGTGTGTCTCAAAATTTCTCAACTCTCAAAGGGGGACGTAAGGGGAGAAAATGGGACCCACCCACCTAGATTGCCTGCAGCCAGACTCTTCATGACTGAACAGAAGTTCCCAGTGGGCATGTAACTGCATTTCACCCTTACTGGGAGGATTTCCTCTGTCAGCTCTGTGTGCCTTCACAGGCTGTGCCCAAGCCCCATTTTGTTCAGCTTTATGCCACTGCCTAACTTTAACTCCCTTCCCTTCTCCCTGTTCTACCACCAAGGTGAACCACCAACCACCACCTCAGAGAAAAATATCCATGGGTTAGTCCCAAGAAGCAGGTGATGAGCTGGTGAGATTTCCTGTGGACAATAGTTGATTTCTGCTATTTATGAGAGAGGCCTATCAAAACCTCCCTATTTGCCATGTAGTTAATTCAGCCTCTATTTTGATAAAATTATGTCCATATACATTTAAAGCAATTTGATATAATTAAAATATTATAAATTAATGAAGTATTATTGGAATTGACGTTACCATTCTGTTCATTGATTTCTGGTTGTTTTATACTTCCTCTATGTCTTTCTTCCTCTCTGCCTTTATGCTCCTTTCCTTTGAGATTTGATGACTTTGAATTCTTAAGAATTTTAGTTGTCCCTCTGTAAAAGAAATCTACAAATAATATTTTATCATGTTTCCAAAAATGGTTCCTTTGTTATATTTCTATAAGTGTAATGCTGACTGTCGATCTGAAGTGATGAACAAGTTTTTCTTGTAGCAAAGGCATCCTATGCCCAATATATTAGCAGGTTTTGAAAACAGAAGTGGGAGTTGTGCCCACACCTTATTTTGTTGCTGAGAATAAAACAAAATTAAATATTATAGACAATAAAGGGACAAATTTTCCTCAGAAAATGCACTTGGAATTTCTTACAGAAACAAAAGTTCAGATGAAAGCTAATAGACAAATGAAAGCTTAATGGACAACAAGAGTACATAATTTTTTTATTTTTTTAATGTTTGATCCTTAGTCTTTCTTTTTTAAAATAATATGGCAAAAAGTCAGTAAACTTTCTTTTCTCATTACAACACTAAGGTATCCCCTAAGATGGTTTGTTCTCCCTTTTTTGCACCTACATTGCCTAACATTAATACTAATGTTATTCTACGTAAGATCAATTTTCCCCCGCTTTTGTATCAGCAGCCCTTCAAGACAGAAGCTGGTAGTGCTTTTTAAATATGTAATTTTATTATTCTTACTCCAAAGTTACTTTATGGTTATTATCAAAAACTTAGAAAATATAGGTAATTGGTTAATTTAAGATAAATCCATCAGTCAGAGAGAACCAACATTCATAGCCTTATGGATATCCCCCTAGTTTTTTTTTCTTTATACACATACATATATACACATGCACTTTTAAAAATAAAAGTAAAATGATGTTATATATACTACTTGAATCATGAGTATTTGCCAAGCATAAAATCTTTCTCTACAACATTCTTAAATACTGTATACCACTAAGCAAGTATATCATAATTTAACCAGTCCCTGTATTTTAATTAATATTTTAATAATTTCCAGTACTTTTTAATTAAGATAATAATTGACATACAAAATTATATTAGTTTCAGGTGTATAATACAGTGATTTCATATTTGTGTATATTTTGAAATGATCGGCATAATAAGCCTAGTTAACATCCATTACCACATGTAATTAAAATTTTTTTTCTTGTGATGGGAACTTTTAAGATCTACTCTCTTAGCAAATTTCAAATACCCAATACAATATTATTAACTATAGTCACCACTGTTGTAGTTTATATCCCTTAACTTTCTTAATTATAACTGGAAGTTTTTAACCTTTTTATTTCCAGGATTTTAATGAAATGCTTTTTATATTAGCCGCTGAAGAATATTAAATGATGAATTCTCCCTTCCCTGATTCCTTTTATAAAGGTATTTTTCTGGCAAATTCAAATATTAAGACTTTAGAGTCAGACCCTGAATTTGAATCTTGTCCTACCACATACTTATTTTGTGACTTCTAGCAGAAATAACTAATTTAAAGTAATCTTACAGAGTAGTAGTTTTTAATTTTTTCCAAGACTTCATAAAGACATTTTATATTCTTATCCCCTGGACAAAACAGAGATAACTGATTTTTATTCATCAGTTTTTGGCTACTAATACTCACTTTCAAATTGTCAGTTTTAATATGTTTCCCCCTCTCTTTTTCTCCTAGAGATAAGATTTCAGTTTCCACAGCTGACTGGAGTGCTTACCCTTGCTTTCTTTATTCATAATTGTATTATCACACTCTTGAAAAACAACAGGAACCAAGAAAACAATGTGAGTAATTATGTGAGAACTTGGCTTTTGGATCTTAATTTATTACGTTTAAACCATAGAGCAATGGTCAGCAAATTTTTCTGTAAAAGCTCAGTGGAAAATATTTTAGGTTGTGTGGACCGAACCATGCGGTCTTTGAAATTACTCAACTCTGCTCTTGCGTAGTTAACGCTATGGTTGGTATGAAAGCAGTCATAGACTGTATGTAATCAAATGGGTGGTGACAGTGTATGAGTAAAATTTTATTTACAAATGTAGTGGACCAGATTTTACTCATATACCATAGTTTTCCAACCTCTACCATAAACAGTCACTGAAAACACAGAGATATAGCTAATAGCCAATAGTGGCAATAAGTGTCTTTAAAAATATGCATGTGCTCCAAAAGAAGACAGGAAAAAGGAAACAAAGAATAGATGGCAAAAGTAGAAAATAGCCAGCAAGATAATGAATTTAAACTCAGTCATATTGGAAACTGCAAAATATAAATGATCTGAATACTACAACTGAAAGGATAAACATTATCAGACTGATCAATAAAACAAAACCAAGCTAATTGCTATCAACAAGAAACTTATTTTAAATGTAAAGCTATACCATGCAGACATGAAATTTAATTAATATAGAGTGGGTATTTTAATATCAGCCAAAGTATTCTTCAGAGCAATGAGTATTGCCAAAAACAGAGAAACACTCCATAGTGATTTTTAGGGATCATAAAAAAAATCCTAAAAATGTATGTACCTAATGCCAGTGTTTAAAAAAAAATGGAATAACTGTTAAAATTGAAAGAAGTTAACAAATCCAGATTTCATTTCTCCTCCCTTAATAATTAATAGAACAAATTGAAAATAAGGATATTGAAAACACTGTCAACCTACTTTAAATAATTGGTATTTATGAAGGTTGTTTCTCAAACAATAGCAGAATACACCTTCTTTTCAAATGCACGTAGAAAAATTAGAAAGTTTCACAAGAAACTTTAGAAATTAAAATCAGAAAATTTCACAGGAAAAATTAGAAAGTACTTTGAGATTAATAAAAATGAAGAAACTGCATACCAAAACTTAACAGTATGCAAGTAAAGCAATACTTACAGATAACATTTATAGCTGTAGCTATAAACATGTACACTTAAAAAAGAAGAAATCTCAAATCAGTAACCTAATTTTCTCCTTGAGACACTGGAGAAAGAAGTGCAAACTATACCCAAAACTACCAGAAATCAAGCAATTACTTGTGATCTTTCCCTTAGATTTTGAACTCAATTTCATATCTTCTAACCATGTAAGCTGAAGTCATGATAAAACTCTAATAGATGCCTATAGAATTGTTACTGAAATACAAAGGAAGGAAGAATTAACTATGTCTGGAAGTTCTGAAAGTTGTACCTGGATCTAAAGACATTTATGTAGGGGAACAGTGAGCGCCTAGACAGATAGTGATCAAATTCTCCAAGTAGAACTTAATTTCATATTTGTTTTCATTAACATAATTATATATGTTTGTGTATACATACTTACATATATATGTGATTTATATATATAACTAAATGGTATAATTTTTGTTTCTTTGTAAGGCATAATTTACCAGAAGGGAAAAAAATGTGTAGAGTTGAAAATCATCCAGCTTTTATCATGAAAATATGTAGCCTCTGTAACCATCCTGAAGGTGTGGACTAACCTCTTGGTATTTCTCTATCATGTTTGAAACAGAACCTATACAATGCTTTTTCTGTTTTATTTTGCCTGTCTTTAGTTTTATACCCTACTTAGTTCTTTGAAAGTTATTTAAGATGCCTTATATCTTCATTTTTTCCTTTTTATTTCTACATATTAATCTATGTAGTTAATACTTAACTGTATCAGCAGTTTTTATGTGACTGTTTGGAGTAGGTTGGTGTGGTCAGTTTCTATCATGTAAATGCCTCACTGTTTTTTCACTGTGAATGGTGCATGGAACAAATTATAAACCATATTTGAGAAACACACTGATCTCCCACACTCACTTGTGCCCCATTTGTAAACCCAGCCCCTATTCTGACTTGGCATTCTTCCTGTCTTTAGCTCCCTCCTGGCAACCCTGCCAGCCATTGCTTATTCATGAGGCAGAGGGCTCTAGGAATTTTGACACATTACCAGTGCCTGTTTTAAAATATTTTTACTTTGAGCCTCTCTTTTGATAGCTTTTTTTCTACCTTTTTCCATTAGACTTTTTAAAATATTAAAATATTTCACATTTTAATTACTGTATAGTTGTATATAATTACATGGACTTTTAAGAGGCTATAATCTCCAATTCTAGCATCGTGATGGCTTGGGTTCAATTCAAAGAACAGTGAAATCCACATGTGTTCCTGCTTTCATAGGTGGTTTGTTTCCGAGCATCATGCTTAACCTCAGCTGCTTTTATATTAAAACATCATTTCTGTTCATTAGAGTATTTTCATATGAAATCAGATATGTAACTCTTGACCTAGTTCTACTGAGTATACATTTGGACTACTGTGAAATAGAACTTTCCTGATTTTGGTATTTCTCTTGCATCATCTGTATTTGTACTCTCTTATATCCTTTCTCATTTATAGCTTCTCTTTCATTGATTTTTCTATTGTTTATTAACTGACACAAATGCATTAGAGAATGGTCAGCTCTCCATCATAGTAGCTAAGGCATGCAGTTTAGAGTCTGGAGGACTTTGGTTTGATTATTGACTTCACCAGCTATTCACTAGGTAGCCATAAGCAAGTTTTATAATTTTGCTGTACTAGTTTACTCATTTATAAGATGAAGAAAATGATTATGCCAAACCTGAGATAATACATGTAATGTGCTTATTTATTAGCACAGCACCTAGCACTTAGAAGAAATTACTAATTACAGTCAATGTGGTTATTATTTTTTATCTACATTTACTGAGTCCCTGTTATTTGCAAGCTGTTGTCTGATAATTGAGAATATGAAGATAGAAAAGACATATCCCCTGTCCTTAGGAATCTCATAGTCAAATGATATGGACCAATTTAGATATAGAAAATGAAAACACACTTTCCGTCATTAACACCACCCAAGTCGCACACACCAGGCTTCTCAGCCACCTTCGAGATGCACTATTTCACCTCCTACTTGCCAGCCACCCTTAGGAGCAGTGCCTCCCCTAGCACCAAGGACATCAAGAAGATCCTGGACAGTTTGGGCATTGAGGCGGACAATGACTGGGCTCAACAAGCTCATCAGCGAGCTGACCAAAAAAAAAAATTGAAGACGTCATTGCCCAGGGTATCTGCAGCCTGCCCGCCAGAGGACCTATTGCCATCTCTGCTGCCCCAGGATCCACAGTCCCTGCTGCTGGTTCCTCCCCAACAGCAGCAGAGAAGAAAGACAAGAAGGAGGAAGATTCGGAAAAGTCAGAGGAGGATATGGATTTGACTTGTTTCTTTAGCTGCAAATTGAGGCCCTTTCACTGTCCTTCCTCCCACATGAGGAGAAAGCCCAGAGGTCAAGCACAAAGGTGTTCCAGCCAATATCCCATGAGCAGCCACTCTCTGGTCTCTTCCCTTGTCACATAAAAGCTCTTTTCCACACACAAAACAGAAAAATTAAACTACCAACACCATGCAAGAACTATTTACCTTGGCTATTCTTAAATATCCTGTGACATTTTATTTTACTTAAGTTCTTTCATATCGAGAACATAGATTTCCTTTAAACAGTAATAACAATTGCAATACAGTAATACTGCTTTTGAGATATGTATACAATAAGTAAGAAGAGGGAAGCAGAAAAAGAAAACTATCTCGTTGGAAAGCCTTTGCATCTTCATTAGATTTTCCCCATAGTTTAATAAGGTCCACCTCTTAGCAGGAAGTCTAGAATGTGGTCATCAGCTGGTCTGTAGGCCAAAGACTGTCCATGAAATGCTAGCTCTCCCTCTTTATACATTATTCTCTCTGACATAGCTGTTTTGGCTTCCCACCATTTTGCATTTTGCAAGACTACCTCTGTTCTTGACTGGCCTTGAATAGGTTGAGGGTAGAATGACTTTCAAACATCATAATAAGTGTTCTACCCTTTGGATTGAAAATGAGTTGCCTGGTACATTTCTGGTCATCCTACATGAGACCTAAAGTAGGATGGGTAACAGAAGTGTAGCTAGAGATGGGCCCTAGAGCTTCATGAACTAAAGAACAAAGATTTTGGACACTCTCCCTTTCCTTTCTCTCCCTTTGCCCTCCCATGTTTGTTAGCCTCTCCTAGCTTTATCCTAAACAATTAGAAGCTCTTTGAGAGCAATGGAACCAATCGGCATAATCCAGGTTCCTGTAACTCCGTAGGTCTCACCACCATCTCATTTAGGGTATGGAATCCCTGATTTATTTTCAAGCTGCTTGTCAGCTTACAGCTGACTTTAGGTCTTGCTTTTAAAGTAAATTTATGGCGCAAGGGGTTAAGCACAGCACTATGAAGCAATCCTCAGCCTCAGCAGCCTCTGATCCCCCACCAGCCAGAGAGAAACCCACATGGCGCAGCAGACCTCTCCTGTCTCACCCGCTGCTCCCCTCAGCAGTGTATTTCAGTCAGTCTGCCTGTTCTGTTCCCCGCTCTGTCTCTGGTGAATCCTCTCACCCCCCTGCACCTCTGGCCTGAACCCCCAGCTCTTGTATGCATAAATAAATCTTTAAAAAATAATAAATAAAGTAACTTTATCAACATTCTAGTTTATAACTTTCTGCTATGTTTTAGCCCATTTGAGGAATTATGAAATGTTACCTAATACCAAATGTCTAGTTTTTTTATTGTTATCAAACTAAACTGAAATTCCATGTAATGTTTTTCTTAACTGTTTTCTTAGCTTTCAAAGTAATTTATGTTTAAAATGAAAAATTAATAGGTTTCTTGCCATAATTTAGTTGTACTGCGTTATTTGGCCATAACCTTAGTGGTGATGGAAACCAGATTTGTGGGCTGTGGGATCTGTTCTGTTTGGATCTAACAGCTGGCTGCATTAAATATCTTGGAGCATTTTACTTTGCATGAGGATGGGAGGTTGGGAGGGTGGGAGAAAGCAGTTCATTTTATTTAATGTCCTGAATTTGTTTACTGGTTCCAATAATAACATTTTGCAGCTGTTTGGAAAAGCTTCCTTTTTATTTCCTTTTGTTTACTGTTCAGGCTTATTAAGCTTGTCTTTAATACTCTCTGCTCTTTAACTAGCTTTCCCTCTTTATTAAATATATTTTAATATGTACCAGTTTAGGCATGCTTTGATGATTTAACAAGCTAACTTATTACAAGAATTTTTTTTTATTCTGTAGATCATATTGAAGGTGGCCTATTCTTGCTTTCTTGTTGGCCTTAGTTTTATTATTTTGAGTAAATATTTTGTAATTTAGTAAATAAAGTATCTTTTGAATTAAGTCAGAATTTCACTCATGTTAAAGTGCCATTTATGGTAACTTTCTAAGTCTGTTACCAGATAATTTAGTTTATATAGTCCTGAAGAGTAAAAGAATATTGTCAGATTGTCATACTAACTGTAAAGTATATCAATTTAATTCTAACTGCTTTCTGTGAACAGATAATCACCTGGGAAGTAAGTGTACACACACACAAAACACAAGATAAATCTTGTATTTATTAGTCAATCTTCTTATTTACCATGTATAGACAAATTTAGTTAGTGCAAATTCATTTAGTATGTTGGAATTTTATTTACAGGTGAGAGACTTATCTATTGCTTATATGCTGGTGACATTAACTTATCTCTATATTGGAGTCCTGGTTTTTGCTTCATTTCCTTCACCACCATTGTCCAAAGACTGCATAGAACAGGTAAGGTACTGTGTTTCTCTCTCTCTCTCTCTCTCTCTCTCTCTCTCTCTCTCTCTGGTTGTGACATCAGTAGCAAGATATAAAACTAGACAGACTTGGATTTGAGCACCATTGACTCTACATGTGGGAATTAAGGTACCTTTCCCACCCTTTCTGAACTTCAGTTTTCTCTTCCATTAGACAGTATGATATGTATGCCATAGATTTTTAGATGGACCCTTGAGAAAGCATACTGTGTGCTGGCACCTGTGGTGCTCAAATAAACAATTGTTACTGCATTCATAATATTTATCTTTGTGTCTAGAACTATTACTAGTAGTAGTTCTGAATTTATAAAACCTCCACTGAGAATACATTCAATTTCCTTATTTTCCTAAGTCCAATTCTGGAAATGTCCTGGATAAACTGGTTTATTTGTTCATCCCTAATGATAGGTCTAACACTCACTTTGATACTCTAGGACAGAAAAAAAAAAAGAAAAAGATTGGCTGTTAGAAGGAGAATATAAAAATTCTTTTACTGCACGGATGCCATAAGTAATATTTTCTTTGGTTTGACCCTTCACAAACTTAAGAATAGTATAGTCTCTGATGTGACTGAAGAATTTCTCACACAAAATTGCTGTCATGATGACTTTCTAGTCAAAGGGAATTCCTCTAGATAGAGTATATTTGAGTATACGATGCGATTTATTACAGATGAATGATAGTTTATTTCAGCATATTAGTGTTAATAATTTTCTCATATTTATAAGAGAAATAAGTTTGAGTTATTGCTGTTATGATAGCTTGAAATGTTCTTGATTTCCTTGATTCCAGAAGTTATTTGGCAGCCAAATGTTTGCTGAAAATTCCCCTGATGTGAACAATCCCATATAAAGCCCACGTCCTTGGGAATAGGAATATCTGTGGTATTTGTGTTTGAAAGGCAAAAAAAACCTCAGAGATTAAAATGTTTCTTCTCAAGATGCCAAACTAAAATGGAGAAAACAGTCATATAAGGAAATAGAAATAAATCCTTTTCTACTTAGTGATAGACTGTAAATAATAATGGTACTATGTTTACTTCGAAAGTGTTAATAATGCTGCAGAGGAAGAAAAGCCAAAAAGCTAATGAGAATCAAGCAACATTTAATTAAATTAGCCATTTATAGTAAAACAGATTTATGAGTGAACCTTATATAGCCATACTTTTCAAACTATCTGTGGAAAAGGACAAGGCTTTCTTTGTTGTTCTGTTGAATCAATTGCTGGCTGATACTTTTGTAAAGTAGAATAAAAATGTGGCTATGTCAAATCTCTATAAAAGTCTCTAAACATTTTCAATTGCTGTACTTACCTCTTTGAAGAAGAGTTAACAGTTTGTGGAAGGACACCAATCCCCACACCACAATTTGAGTAATGCCTATGCTCAAAATAAGCAAAAGACAGTCCATGTTATAAATTCACATATACTGAATCTGATTTTTAACATTACTTCATTATCTTTCTTGGATTAGAATTTTTTAGACAACTTCCCTAGCAGTGACATCCTGTCCTTCATTGCAAGGATATTCCTGCTGTTCCAGATGATGACTGTATACCCACTCTTAGGCTACTTGGCTCGGGTCCAGCTATTGGGCCATGTCTTCGGTGACATTTATCCTAGGTAAGGTTTCTACTCTTGACCAGCAAGATGTGCCACGCAACAAATGACTGTGCAAACAGGTCAGTTTAAAATGTGACTGATCCTTTTGCTTTAAAAATTTGCCTAATGGAAGTGGTTACTAAGGATAGATCATTGGTCTTCTTTTCCCCAAAGAACTTTAAAAATAGAAGCCACTCCCTTGTCCGGAATGATTTAAAGTTAATTCCTTCCAGTACAGTTATATTAAATCATATCAGTTATATTTATCTTATGATTTGGTTGCTATTAATCTATCGCCAAGAAGTTAATAATATGTAGTACTTGTGTTAGCAATGTATGACTAATGAGAAGCAAATCTTTTATTTTTATTATTGGTTTTATTTGTATTTTTACTTGTGTATTAATTAACATTATGCATTTTCACACAAATGATAGTTGTTTTGAATTAAAGGTGAGGTATAAGAAGTTACAGATCCTTCTGAAAATCTGTTCAAAGCTAGTTACCCTCATCTAAGAGGTATTTCCATTTACTATTTCAGGTTTTCCTTGAAACCACCTTTTGACCCTTGGTTAACTCCTTTTCTTAACATCAGGTGGCTATTATAGATTCATCTGAACAAGAAATACCCAGTCCTTGCCTGTTTTGTTGAGAATAAATGATCTTAAATGAAGACAATTTTTAGATAAAATTTGAAAAAAATTATCTGTATTAACCAAGGAAACAAGTGGTCTTAATCAGTTCTTCTTTGAAGTGATCTCATAGAGTATTGTCCCTTCATTAAATAATTATGTTGTTTTAGAAATGAAAATCTTTCAGAAGTCTAAGTGAAAAGTAACCAGGTCTTTAATGTTGACAGTGGCAACAGCTACACTTTTAGCATTGCTCATGTAGGAGATTGTATTTTAGGAAATTGAAGATTCCTGTTGTGTTTATACTCTGTGCTATATTTATGTTCACCAAAATAAAATAAAGACAGTGAAGTCATAGATGGAAAAAAAAATCTAGGTAAATGCTTTATTCCTGTTTTCTACCATTGTTTTGCATAATGTTGACTATCAGAATGTTTTCTTCTTGGAAAAAGTCTGCAATTTCCCTTTTGTATTCACATTATGTTTCTTCCCTTACCACCAATAACACACTCTAATTTATCCTACAGTTATAAGTACTGTATAGACTGCATACTTTTGAATACACTTTTGGTCTCTTGATCCTTTTATAGTCTTAAAGTTTATGGATGACCCCCTGCCAGAACCACCCCCCCAGGACTTCAGTTTATGTAGATTATATCTATCAGTATTTGACACATGAAAAATTAACTGAGAATTTTTTTATTTGTTAATTCCTTTAAAAAGCAATAATAAAACCATAATTGGTTCACATAAATAACATTTATGAAAAATAACTATTTCCCCTTCAAAACTCCTGATTTACTAGTATTATAGATAATTGGTGTATACTATCGTCTGCATTCAGTATGTTGGAATATGTTGATTTTCTTTAAATATATGAAGAAAATCCACCCTCACACAGACACATAATTGGAAAAAAGGAGTGCTTTTTTTTTAAAGATTTATTTTCTTTATACAATAACTGGGGTACAGGCCAGAGGTGTGGGAGGGTGAGAGGATTCACCAGCGACAGAGTGGGGAGCAGAGCATTCAGAGGGACGGAGGGCGGGTGTGACAGGATGGGTCTGCTGCGCCATGTCGGAATTTCCCTGGCTGGCCAGCCGCTCTGCAGAGGCTGCGGACAGCTTCATAGCACTGTGCTCAACCCGCTGCGCCACCGGGGAGGCCCCAAAAGGAGTGCTTTTAGTATAATAGCCTTTTCACATAATTGTGGTTATTCTTCTGTGGTACTGTTTCAAAATTTGACAAATGGTAGTTTCCAAAAAGTTGGTTGAATCTGAAATTTGGTTACGTTAAAACCCACTGCTCTGTCTTATACTGTCGATCTTTTATCCAGGCAGGATTTTGTAAGTGTTTAGTTATTTAGAAAATGAGTTCTGCAGATCTTCCAAATATTGAACGGGTTTCATTATGAAAATCTTTAAATATTCAAAAACTATAAGCCTCAGGGTGACAAATACAAACTTTCCAAAATTCTAATTTTTAATTGAAAGTTCAAATTTTATCATTGGCAACATACACTACTAGGTTTTTCTTGAAATCACAAACTCATAGCTCACTAGTTTTCAAGAAAATGACTCAAGTACCATGGCTGAAATGACCATAGTCTGTCTGACTTTTAAGTAAAAATAGCATTCCTTCGAGAAAAGAACAACTAGGTTGCCCTTCAGCTCAGTGCTCAAGTACTTTTCTTCAAGACAACATTGTACTTCAGTATGCAGCTCTCCTGCAATATTGAAAAGATGTGTGCTCAAAGACTAGTTTTAATAAAACTGATTTCACACCTTTATCAAGGGCAGTTTTTAATGTTTTGGTGTGTTTTCTTTTTTAGTCTTTGGCAGTAAAGAATGTGGTATGCCAAATAAATAGGTGCCAAACTATCTTATAAGGGCCAGCAGTCTTAACCATGAACTTTGGTAAAACAATAATGTCTTGCGTGAATATGAAAATAATTTTTACCTCAGGGACTTCCTGAAAGGTTATTAAAAACTCTCTAGGTTCGTGGTTACACTTTGAGAACCACTACTTTGGAAAGTACACTTCCTTTTACAATACAGAAATAAGAAAGGCCCAGCCAGTGTCTCAAAGCTGAAGCAATTTTAAGGTTGACATTTCTGGATAAGTAGAAAGATTTTGAAGCCTGAGTATGTTTGTAATTCAGCAAGCTCCAATACTAAATAACCACTTACTTACATAAATAATTACCCTTATTTGTCCTTTTCTCTATAATCTTTATCTGGAATTAATTACCCTGTGATAACTTTGGGCTCAAAAGGTTGTTTTGATGTACGAATATAGCTCTTGAAAATCATTTTAGAGAAAATGGAGTTAAATCTTCAATATCAGATTTCATCCACCTTATTTTTATTTGTGACCAAAATTGATTCCTAAATCTAGAATTGTTGCCTAATCAATATTTAGAAGATGCTCTATTCATGTTCAATATTTAATAGCTTTTAAGAGTCTGAACCTAGAAAATAAAACTACCCCATGAGTCTTTTTCCCTAAATAAAATTTTATTTTTCTAGTTATAAAAGTAAAACAAGGACTTTACAAAATTGTAACATTGTAAAGTATAGAAAATTTGCTAAATATAGAAGAAAGCTACTCAAAATCCCAAATCATTAACACAATCTTTACTATTTGTTGAATATATTCCCTTCTGATATTTTTAATAGCTTTTTAATATATCCCATTAAACAAATTGGTATAGCTAGCATACTTTTGGTTTTCCATAAATATCTTTATATCAATAGCTTTTTTCATGGTTTTGATTGTTTTCTTAATATATTTCAAATGGAATTATAAATGTAAATTCACACATACTGACAGTTTATTCCTACAGAATTTAACCTGTTTATTTAATTGCACAAAATGGCCAATATCACTGTCTCATGACCTGTATTGAGTACTGCTGTCCTCTATTTTTGCCAAGTTTAAGACATTGTCATTTTAAAGATGTTAATAATTAATTTTGTATTCACATTAATTGTTGTCATTTGCCTGTTTTCATATTTCTTCTTTCTTCTAAACTCTCTCCTCAACTCCCATGTAGCATTTTCCATGTGCTGATTCTTAATGTATGTATTGTGGGAGCTGGTGTGATCATGGCCTGTTTCTACCCAAACATAGGAGGAATCATAAGGTACTGCCTGTAAGGGAACTTTTCCCCTTCTTATATTGATCTTTATTCTTATGCTTTTCCTGTTGTTGTTGTTGTTATTGTTTTAATTTAATTGTTTGAAATTCCTATGAGTATTTAAAACTGGTAATAATTAAATATCATTCCCTCATATTAGTTAAGGTGCTCATTGTCTTCCATTTCTGCTTATTCCTGATTTTAGATGCCCCATTATCCTTAGGCTCATTTCCTTTTCTCTTTTCTTTTTTCATCATATTTCACTATTTCTTTCTCTTTATCCATAATAAAAGTTTTTTTTTAAAAAAGAAAAATTAATCTTTTGGACTGTGGAGCACATTAGTGATAACCAAAAGGAAGGGGAAATAGAGGAGATGGGTAAATTGGGATGAGGGCAATGGTTTGGTGAAGGATGGAATAGGTCATTTAGCAGTGAACCCCAATATACTCATATTCATTGTCAGTGATGCACACCTGAAACTTATAGAATATTATAATGCAGTGTTAATTCACTAAAAATTAAATGAATACTCTTTAAGTTATTTTAAGTGTGTGTGTGTGTGTATATGTGTATATATATATATATACCTTATAAGTATATACTATCATAGGGACTCTGGGAGATGTCTAAAATGTCAAAGCTATGCCCTAATTTTCTTAATCCATTTCTACTCAAGAACATATTTCAGTGTCAGCTGTAGTTAGAAAATAAGTTTAGTTTAGAATTTAAATCCCAGATAACTTTTGCCTTGATATCCTTTCTCTAAAATGTTGCAGTAGGTTTAGTGAATTGGGAATAAAGTTGTGACCTCGGGTTCTCATGTAAGACTGTAGTTTAGAATGATCTGATTTCATTAACCTACAACCTTTTTGAAGACACTTAACCAAGAAAGTAATAAGAGACAAAAGTGAAGCTTTTTAATCTGATACTTTATTGACTATGACAAGATCCTATTGAGTATAGTAAAAGGGAAAATAGGTACATTTTCCTGTTAATCTCAAGTTTAGTTATCTCTGTTATAGTTGTGCTGAGACACTTTCATCAGTTCTCATTCTTAAGCAGATGCTAGCAGTCCATGAACTCAGAATGTGTAATTAGTTTATAAAAGAGTAAAGATAGGAAACCCATCTCCAGATGTTTCTGAGGAAGTAGTAGTGATCTCTGAGATAAGAGGAACTATAGAGATTTGAGATGAATCAAAAACTCTTTGTCAAGCTGATGCTATAAAGGTGAACAGGAAATAATGTTTTATATTAACTTAGCAAGTAATATAAGTTTTAAATTCGAATCTTTATGTCAACATTGAATGAATCAAAAATAATTTTCTTGCAATATCAGAAGCATTTAAGTTATACTATACTATCTTAATTGCAGATCAGAGAAAGGAAAATACAAGATGAGTATTAACCCCAAAAGCTTTTATTTTGCAGGTATTCAGGAGCAGCATGCGGCCTGGCCTTTGTATTCATATATCCATCTCTCATCTATATAATTTCTCTCCACCGAGAAGAGCGTCTGACATGGCCTAAATTAATTTTTCATGTTTTCATAATCATTTTGGGCCTGGCTAACCTGATTGTGCAGTTTTTCATGTGAAAATCTCAACTATCTTTTCAAAGTCTTTCATGGTGTTTTCAACTTGGACAACAGTTCCCCATAAATTCACTTGTAAATGCTGTTGTTTCTGTAATTCTAAATGTTTTCCTAGGATAATTTTAAATGAGGGAAATAATGGTCTATTAGTAGGAAATTTCTCAACCAAGAGTAGAAAAGGGCAGTAAGACTGGTCTTTGCCTCTGCCTTTTCATACTCACCTGGTTCTTCACCCTGATAGTCTTTTCTAAGTGTGTGCCCTTTTCTAATGTGTGCCCTTAGGAAAACTCTTGCCAGGTTTTGCTTTGAGAGATAGATAGTGGGTAGGTCTATTTTGACTACAGTGAAGATTCTCAGGGTGTCACAGCAACTGTTGCCAGATGCTCTTTCTGTTTTTTATTTCAGGGTATTAGTTTTATTACTTGCTAGGCCATTTCTGCCATTTGCCCAAACCTTTACTGTTTGGGACAATAAACCAAATACCTCATTTTTCAAAAGAAGTCTTCATGACATCACTATTAAGAGTGAAGTATTAACTATGTCCTAAATCTCTATTTTAAAAATAAGACAGTGTCAGTGCAGGCACTGTAGGCATGCAAATCACACAAAATAAATGAACTTGGAGAGTTTGTTGCTGTTTGACTCCTCTTTTGTTTCTAATCCAGTACCAGTGACTTGGGTTGAAATTATAATTCCCCAGCCAAATTTTGCAGAACAACAAGTCTGATTGTCCCCATAGAGCTAAGAGGGCTGCTTCGCTTTTTAAATCCCTGAGCAACTTCCTAAGATGTCATGACAGGTCTACCTGGGAAGAATTTAGGAAGTGTGGCAGAGAGAGGGAAACATGAGGCCCTGCAGGCCTCAAACAGAGAAGGGACCAGGAAGAGTGAAGCTCATTCTAAGTACATTTTCTGGGGGTGAAAAGTTGTTTCTTGACCACAGGAGAAGATTAATTGTGTTTGATGTATAACCACCAGAGGATTTCCCTTCCTCCACTTGTTTCTGTAGCTGGCAGGATGGAGGGTTAAATCCATCTCCTTAGATATGAGAAAAGGATTAAGGAATCAAAATTCTTGAAATTCACATTCTCCTCTTTAGTCTTTCAAACTAAAAATCTGAAGTAGATGCCAAATCCATGTCTTCCATGTAATATAGTCGCTGTGTTCAGCTGAAAAAGTCATACTTCTCAATTTTAGGCTAATGTTAAAAAGTTTATTGTGTTAATACACATCCCACATCCCAGGACAGAGTATAGATTTGTAATACTTTCCTTCCCTTGAGGTTTGTAAACCTAGTAAAGAGATCCAAATTCTAAAACAGCTGTAATTTCTTTCAGCAAAGTTCTCCATCCATTCCATAGACCCATACCTATATTGATGAACTGTACTTCCTAAAGCTATTTTTAAGAGTGTGTCATTGTAAAAATTCTAAAACAGGGCCTCCCCGGTGGTTCAGTGGGTTGAGCGCTGCGCTGTGAAGCTGTCCCCAGCCTCTGCAGTGCAGGTTCAATCCCAGCCGGCCGGTCAGAATCACACATGGCACGGCAGACCTCTCCTGTCTTGACTGCAGCTCCCCTCAGCAGTGTATTTCTGTTGTCTGCCTGTTCTGCTCCCTGCTCTGCCTCTGGTAGGTCCTCTCACCCTCCCGTGCCTCTGCCTATACCCCAGCTCTTGTATAAAAATGAATAAATATTTTTAAAAATAAATAAAATAAAATAAAAATTCTAAAACAACACAAAAGTAGAGCAAATATGATAGAGGCCCCATAAACCTATCCCCTATATTTAGTAATTATAAAACTACTGCATTTGCTTCATCTGTCCTCCTTTTTCTTTTTCCTTTCCTACTGAAACTTTTTTTTTTTTTAAAGATTTATTTATTTATTTATACAAGCACTGGGTACAGTCAGAAGCGCGGTAGGGTGAGAGAATTCACCAGAGCCAGAGAGGGGGACAGAACAGGCAGAGTGACGAAATATACTGCTGAGGGGAGCAGCAGGCATGGCAGGAAAGGTCTGCGCGCCATGTGGGACCCTCCCCGGTGGCCGGGGATCGAACTGGCGCTGCAGAGGCTACGGGCAGTTTCACAGCCCAGTACTCAACCACTGCGCCACCAGGGGAGACCCATGCAGAATCATTTTAAAGCCAGTCTCAGACATGTCATTTCATCTCTACAAACCTCTGAATATGCACTAATAGCCTTTTGAACTTAGTTACATTTATTATTGGAGACAATCTCAAAAGTTTGTTAGCAGAAACTGCTGGTAGAAGTTAGGTTAATTAGAAAATTCTCCATTTGGCTTGGGTTTGTCTGCTAGCCTCTTTTTAGAACAAAAGTATAATGTATGGAGAAAGTATCTCAGTGCTTGGGAACCACACATCTTTGTGACTTCAAAGTCTTGTTCAGCTAGAAACAGGAATCAAAAGCTAGAGAGCACCTTGGGCAATCTTTTAAGTTAATTCCCTGTTTATCCCTAATTGCTGCCCTTATCTTTAAGAACTTCAGAGTTTTCATTGCCTTTTTTCCGTAATATACGTGAATGTTCTGACGCATGGAAAAAAATGGTTTGATATATTTTTGCCTGTTAAATGATCAAATACCACAATGAATGCTTTATTTACTAAACTGAAAAGCAATATGAATATTTGCTTTTTTCTTTGAAAGAATTGATAATTTGTAACATCAAATCCTATGTTAGACTTATGCTGAATGAATTTGCTTCCTCCCAGAAAACCAACTCTGAATCTGAAATAACCAACCTGTTATTTCATTTGGTCAGAAAACTGTGTGTGAGTGAATATGTCCTTATCTCCTTATTATAAGGAGATAAGGACTTATTCAGATCACAGTGCAATTCATTTTAAACTTCTCTACTGTCATCTCTGAACTTACTAATTAAATTTCTTTTTTGCTCTGATGTGGTTAATCTTAGTTTTTTTTAATTTAACTTATTTAACACACAACCTAGGATGTTATAAAATTAAAAATGGTTTGTGTAGGGAGGTTTTCCTTAGAAAGCCTCTGCATCGGTATGTGGCATGTTAATACTAAGCCAGAAAGGACAAGGAAATGTCCTTTGACTTTTGATACCTGTGGATAATCATCCAAGATCAGTTTCATCATCACACACACAAAAAAATGTACTGGAGTAAAGAGCAAAAAAGGAACTTTATTAAAGAGAAATCTGTATTTATACCAGGTCTGTTTTACAAGTGCAATACAGTTACTAAATGTAGAGATAGAAGAGGCTTTTTCTGTTTCTACATGGAGTAATTTTGATCTGTGTGTTAATTTACTTATTTCCATAAGTGATTGAGTAAACCATAATGTTCAGTGCTATGAAGGAAGCAAAAATGTGCAAGAGATCTTTTATATCCTAAAGATCGTAAAGGAGCTAGGATCTAGTAAAGGAATTGTGTATATAGTTAACAAACTGATCTCTTTCCGTTGGGAACCTCAGGAAGGGCTGGTAAAGGTGACTTAAGTGCTAAAGCCACAAAGACCCATTTTCAGACTCCTGTAATAAATGTACAAAATTTTAGATATTTGATGTATTCATTGTCAAGTAGGATCATGTAAAGTATAATTGCTTTCATTTTGACAAACTTCCTCTAAAATTTTATGAGACGTGTTTACTTCTGTATGCTATTGTTCTCTTTGCATTTTAAACACTGTATATTCACTTTTGTGACTCTTGGAGGGCAAAATACAGTTGATTAATAAGGGAAATAATTTGTCATACTTCTGGAATACAAACAAAGATTTTGTAGCATTTTCTCTCCAACGTCTTGACTTGTTTAAATATCAGTATTCCAAACACCATATGTTTGACCTTATTAATAAGAACAAGAAATATTGATGCTGTATGTTTTCTTTACAAAACACTGACTGTTTTTTAGAATTTGGTGGCGGTGGTTTATTTTCTTATCCCAATTCAGTTGTTTAAAACAAAATCCAAGTCTAGTTGACACCTAAACAATAGAATGTTATATTACTCTGTGATCCAGTGTGAAATGTACACAAGGCAGCCAGGCTGGCCCCAGTTTCAGTCAACTGTCTACTTCACTTCAGATTGTGTAAACATGTATTTCGAAACAGCTCTGATGGAAATCTTGTAACCTAAACAGTATTCTCTGAAATGTAATTTGTTGTCTTTTTATATAAAAGAAAAAATAAATCAAAATTAGTTTGAAGAAAAACAACTCTCAGATTTTGTTTAATTGAACTTTGTCGGGAAATGCTATTGTCTAGTAGCACTGACCCAGGGCAAAAAGAAGCTGGAGGCCTCTTTTACAGGGTCAGATTCTCAAATGACTTTGCATGTCACATCAAGTCACTCTAGTCACTAATGCATCTCTCACATCAGACCAGAAGGAGCCCTCCCTAGTGTTTTTCCTAGAGAAAAGCATATGTGACTTTGTTAAACTGAAACCTAAAATGATCATCCCTTTTGGATAAGCTGTTTTGACCTCTCCCTCTAAGGACATTTCAGAATGAATGTGCCTCCTCAGATAACTGTTAACCCAGTTTCTGGCAAACTGTTAACCCAGCTTGATGTCACAATACAGAACCATTTAAGGCAATAAAGAGCTGTAATTTTCTGCCTTCCCTAAGCAAAATTCCTTTTTCCTCCATTGTCATTTTTCCATATTTCCCAATTCTCTAAAAATAAAATATGGCCATGTCTTTTAAAAAGTATAAAAACTTCTCCATTCATTGTATTCATCCCAAGCCATAAAATACAAGACTGGGTAGGGATTGGCAAGAGCACACACTTCATATAGTTCTTTGTTTGGCAATTTTGACCCCATGTGATCCAATTATGTTTTGTCATAGCAATTAATGAATGAAACAAGATTTTATTTTAATGGAAAACAATAAGTTAATTGCTGTTTTCTAAGATTTGTTCCAACACCCCCTAAAAAAAATCAAGACAAAATTGGTTCATTTGGGTTCAGGATTAGCCTCTTGGCCAATATTTTAAGCACTTTGTGGAAGCCAGACCCTGTGCTCAGCACAGAACATACAGTGCTCAACAAACTAGATATGGACCTAACCATTCAACACCCTCTCGAACCCACCCTCTTGAACACAGCCAGCTGGTCATTTTCTCAAGGTGTCCCTGCAGTGCCCTGCTTTGATTCTTTTCTGCTACTCTGTCTGTTAAATGTTGTGATGAAATATCATACACATTTTGAAGACATGAGGATGTGACGTGAGGTGCCGTAAATACAGCTTCATCAAGTAAACCAGGTTTATCAATATAAAACTTTTTAAAACGCTAGTGTAATTTGTAATCACATAAAATTATGTAGAAATGTGGACAAAAACTGGAAGGGAACACAGAAGAATGAACATGGCTGACCTGTGTAGGTGATAGGATTTGAGGTGAATCATTTACATTGTTGTTTTATTATTTGCATGACAAATTTTCTAAAAGGATGTCTTGGATAAATCATGGAAAAGAAAGATTGTAGAAATATGACTACTCATACCTAAAGGGCTAATCTGCAAAGAACTTTTGGAACGGATGACAGTTGGTTACAGAGGCAGATGCAGATTATGTAGGGCCTGAAGTTATGTAATTTGGAATCCCCTCTTAAGGAAACATTAGAAAAGTAGGAAGGAGCCTGTATGAA